CCTGTCCTCCTCCGCTTCCTCCTCCTACTCTTCCTGCTCCTCCTGCTCCTCCTCCTCCTCCTCCTCCTCCTCCTCCTCCTCCTCCTATCCTTATTCCTTATTAGAATATACTCCTACTCCCCCCTCAGGCCGGCCGATAGGGGCCGCATCCGGGTGGTCTCATCCTAACCTGTAATAACAATACAAAATCAACATGTTTCTTATTTTTTCCTCTCGACATGGACGTCCTGTCGTCCACGGCGATAATCCATTGCAAAAAATACCACAAAGAGCACACGCGCGCGTTCATGTCAGAATCCTACCGAACACCGTGTGTTTGCAAGCATTTCAACATAAAAACATCAAAAACCCAATGCTTTTTCACAAAAAAAAACTACTCATTTCCTGCCCGGGCTCTCTTGCTGAAATCATAGGAAAACCATAGGAATCTTAAGAATTCGGTCAAATCCAGCGATTTCACGTCATCGCGCGGTGCACTCGCGATGCTCTGTCATGCACCCAGGCCGCGAATCCTGTGCAAAAAATACCACAAAGAGCACACTCGCGCGTTCATGTCAGAATCCTACCGAACACCGTGTGTTTGCAAGCATTTCAACATAAAAACATCAAAAACCCAATGCTTTTCACAAAAATGCTTTGGGGTGTCCTGTCAGACCGTCGGGCTTCCTCCGGCCACCTCTGGCTTCCTGCGGTGTACCGGGCCATTCTCGACTCGTCTGGCAATGCGTGCGCGGCATTCAACACGCGCTCGCCAGTTCCCGTCGGCAACCGCCATCGCGGCCGCATCAGCTGTACCAAACCGGCTGGCCGGTGTGACTTCGGCCCACAGTTGTGCCAGCTTTGCTTCTTATGTTGTGGGAGGGCGGGTGGGACCGGGCATGCCATGCTTGACTCGCTCGAGCTGGCTAGCTTGACTCCTACTCCTATCCTCCCCCCCTTTTCTCCTCCTCTTCCTCCTCCTTCCCCTCCTCTTCCTCCTCCCTCCCCGCCTCCTCCTCCTCCTCCTCCTCCTCCTCCTCCTCCTCCTCCTCCTCCTCCTCCTCCTCCTCCTCCTCCTCCTCCACTGCGTCTTGGAGTTTCGGGTTCCCCTCCTCCGAGGCCAGAGGCGCCGTGGGAATGGATGAAACAATGCCGCCCCTGGAGGTCAGAGTGGTATCCAGATCCACTGCGCCGCGGCCTGCTGGCGCCCCTTCCCAGAAAGTCCAAGACGCAGTGTATGTGGATGCAAATCGTGCCCGCGCCCTGGTCCCCCATGCCATCTCCTCCCGAACAGCTCCTCCCTGTCGCGCCCCGAGGCCGGTCGGAGGGGCGGGCCGGGCGCTTCGCCAGAGACCTCCTCGCATCTAGGACATCCTTGAGCTCGGGACTTGAAAGTTTCACGGATGGAGGGCGGGCGGTTTCAAAACGTGACTCCCGCCCTGTCGCTGCGCACCTTCGTTTGCTCTTAGTTGCAAAAACGAACAAGACGACTGAAGGGGAAGAGCATCATTTGAATTATTTGGAACGGCAGGATGTGCGGGTAGAAGAAGACTGAAAGATTCGCCCTGGCGAGCGGCCATACCTGCAATAACAGCCTTCGGCACCCCCTCTCCTCTCGCCTAAAATGATTGGACCTCACATTCCTACTCTGATATTTGTTCCCCTTCCAAGTGTTGCCGATGCAGCGCTCGGCCAACGATCAGCGGTGGTGTATCTAACTACCAAATAAGATACAACATCATGAGATACGTGCAAAACCACCCCTGCCTCAAGCAGGGCATTCCTTGGTACAGCTTTCTTTTACACTTGCTGGAAGCACACTCAAGGAACGGGGATTGAAGCACAAAGCGGAGCGATATTCACCGTACTACTTGGCACCAACCTTGACCAGGCTCTGGCTAGAATTTCTCAAATCGCGTGCAATGAAAACAACGCACTAGCCTCGCGAGAGTGGGCGACAACCATGCCCATATCTTCAGTGGAATAAGAAGACGTACGAACGTAGACACGTGAGTAGAATTTTCCGACCCATTGGGGCTCATCGGCGTGTGAGATAATTGACCCTCCGAGACCCCTCCACCACCAACCATGTCCAGCCGATTTGGAGAGAAGGAGGCCCACTCTAGCCGCCGGCAAAAGACGTGAACGACGACGACAATAACAACGGCGACAACGACGACGACGACGACGACGACGACGACGACAACGACGACGACGACGACGACGACGACGACGACGACGGCGGCGACGACCTCGACAGCGACGGTGAGGGCGGGGGGGGTCGAACACCCCACCCCACCCCCAGCCTCGGATCGTTGACCGAGGGGAAGGTCGCACCCCCCCACTCGAGCTCCTCCCAGCGTACACATAAGACGCTATTTCGATCGTGACGCGTTCTCGTTGGTTCTACGTACAGCCTTCTGGGAGGTTAGCCTTGGAGAGAGAGGCCAATGAGGAGGACTGCAGCCAGAACAAAAAAACACAAGCTGACGACGTCCGCGGACGACTTCTCCGCCAGCGC